CCTACTTCCTCAGCGCAAGGTGCTGTGCGACCCCGTCACACTCTTAACCGACTAACCTGTCTGTCTGTCTGTCTGTCCGTCCGTCCGTCCTGCACCTTTTCTTACCGATTGCACCCCTCTTTTAGCCTTCTCTTCATCAACGCTAACACTGGAAGCTCACCTGCATCACTATCGTGACTGCGTGGCGCAAGCGAGTGTCACAAAAACGCAATTTGATTGGCTACACACTAAATACGTTTTTGGACTTTCAGCTTTACATCGATTATAAGCGGAATAGCCTCCGACACAGGCTGATCCGTAGCACCATGCACGCCTTCTGATTGGACGAAGGACAATCTTTTTTGCCACGAACGAAGCATAACGATTGGACAAAATATGCAGTTGACTTTGAAGAAATGACAAATTATCACCACTGCCACTGGACACTAGCAGTAGCTGGACCCAGGCAACACCCAGGTGAGCATGCGAAGTGTACAACGTTGCTATACCATTCGACTGACACCATTAACAATTGTGTGGACTTCGGGTAAATTTACATTTTAATTTTCAGCTACAAATGGAATCTACCACATTATGTAATGATTATTTAGATTTGAGGTGGCACGACCGGCACTACCACTGGGCTTTTATGAGCACAGTAAACTGAAATACGAACGTAAGGACATGGGGAGCATATCACCATGTTTAATTGCATTTTAGTTGCTTCTAAACGACAAGGCTTTTAATTAGTTTTTTATTCGTTTTGGCTCACTCTCACTAATGACTTGACCTTCTATACAATAATATAGCCAGGTCAAAGTACCCGTTCAGGCGTAGGCTGCGTGTGTGGGACATTGTTTTAACCTTTTTGCGGTGTGACGGCGCATTTTTCGCCTTTGAACACCTGTTTCAAAACAAGGTGGGAAATTGCACTCTAAAAGGGCGACTTTTTCGCCCTTTTAGCTTTTTCTCCAGCCTACCGTGTTGTGTTACAATCATTCACAGCACTGAATGCAATGAGCATGGAGGTAATTTTTGGTTCGTCTCGTATTTTATTGTTCCAACGACCGTAATCGGCCCTTCCTACGCGACCGTGTCATCAAGCTAGCGGTCTATCGCCCGACAGCCAGTCACCAGACCGTACAAAAATGTAAAATAAAAGCACACCTCCGACCTCCCATTTAGCCATAGTGTACTCAAGGCTAATGCACACAAGCTTCACGGACACGGAAGACAAGTTGCTGCCAGCCTGTCCACTTCCAACTACTCCGTCGAGTGCTAAAGATCCCTGCGGTGATCGCCATGTGCCAGGTTCGTCTGCTTTGGGGATACGTTTGTGCCGATTGTGAGACTGACGTTGCGCTTGCTGGGTAGGTGAAGACATACACGAGAGTGCCTCCAATGACAGAGAGGTGCCAGACAACGGGGAGGAAGAGATCCAAGACTGCTGTGATCAGGATGGAGGAGCTGATAGTGGCTGTATTGAGCGAAGTTGTGGGGGTTGCTGTCATTAACTGGTTGGTATAATGAAAACAGCTTCGTGTGTGAGGCAGTAAATCGTGACCTCGGTTGGATAGCCCCCCTCCCATCTGCACACAATACAGCGCCGGCGTTTTCGGCTCTTCTAAGCGTGATTTTGTCTTGAAAATACCGATGCTCACATCGTTGTCAGCAGCGCTGCGATCTTATTGGCTGGTGCCCGAGATGTAGGTGTGCCAACTTGCTCCACATCTTCGCCGTCAGCATTCCACCACTATAGAGCATTCTACTGTCGCTTGGCGCATTCCTCCACTGTTCGTTCAAAAGATCACCCGCCAACTCCATCAGGAACGATCTGTGGGAGTCACGAGTCGCTTGGTCCGTCTTCACCAGTCGCCATGTAAGATAGGCGTTCGACCGTGCAACGTCGATAAGAGCGAGGGCCAGCTTCTTGTGCCACCGTTTGAACGAATGACCATCCGCTGTAGAGAATCGTCCTCGGATTTGGCCGAGGCGATCAACGCTCTGTATATTTGTGTTGTA